AAAGGGTTTTGTTTCTGTGCAGGTAATTTTAGTTGCGGCAGGCTTGATTTAAATTACTTGCTTGTTCCAAGTATTTCTGTTAAAGCAAGATTTAGCTTTTTTTCCCTAATGATAAAATATTTCCTTGAAATTTTGTTGTTAATTTTTATAGAAAAGTGGGCTATCAAGATATATATGCTCAGCCCTTGAGGAACTGAATATACCTTTAGTTGTGTCTTTCTATAGATTGTTTTACGGTGTTGAATCTTTATGAATTTTGCTGTTTTGTCTTATTGTTGTATCTTTGTCATGAAATCATTTATTTTTGTGTGGGACATCATCTTTATGGTTGGTTATGAATCTAGCTACATTTTGCATGTTGTGTGGTCAAGATACAGGATTTTAGGAGTCTTTTATCATCTTGAAAAGTAGGATTTATTTTTTTTTCTCTTCTCAAGGATTATGTCCGTGTGTTGGGAACATTAGACTTAGCCACCTATTTGGTACCTTTAACTTTGAGTGGAAAATATTGATTATTTATCTCCTATAGTCCAAGAGTGTTTAACGTTGAAAGATAGCTAACTCAATCGTTGGTTTTGGTGTTTTTCAAGGGCTTTCTTAGGTGGACTTCTTATGGGGTCTAGATTTCCATGTACGGGCTCTGAATATTTTTGAAATTGTTATTGAACGATGGTATTGATTGTTGTTAATTGAAGCTTTCAATTGCTTATCTTATTGTTACCTATATTTTGGTATTCAATGATCTTGTGATTTGGTTTATTTGTTTGATAAGATACTTTGTTCCAGAGAACTAAACATTTTTTTTCCTTGTGTGCAGGGATGGTTAGAATTGGTATGTTCTTAACTCCTATTGGGATTTGTTGATTCGTAAAATGTAAAATAATTTGCTTAGTAGAAGTTGTCCGCAACCATATTTCTACCTTAGAATATACTTAAATTTGAGGAGCTAATAGATTTATTTCTAATTTCCAATGAAGAAGGGTTAACAAACCTTATGAAATTTTCAATGGTGTTTGGCTAAATTGAAGGGTTTTGATATCAAGCATAGAGGTGAGGTAAAACTCATTAAAGTTTTTCAGTTTTTTGAAGTTGAATTATACAACTATTGTCAAGGGCCATTGTTCTCAATATAATGTTTGGTCCGAGGAAAATACCATTTTTCCTTGGCAATAGCTTTGTGCTCTCTTTCTATCTTGCACTTTGGAGAATACCTGCTAGGTGAATTCCAAAAATTCAATTAATTGATCATATTAATTGATTTGTTGTAGGATATTATATTATATATATTTGTTTATGTAATTTTGTTGATATTTTTATAATGTGATGGTAAATGGTTGGAGCAAGTATGTGTGTGACCAAAAAAATCTAAATAGGTATGGGGAGTATAACGATGGGTGTTGTAGTTACAATAACTTCCAGTTCTTGGCAGTTCTGTTACTTTTTCTTCATTGTGCATTGATTTTTTTTTTAACCTACTCATCATATATTAAATTTATCAAAAGCACCTACATGATATGTATGGAACTTAATTTATTTTTTACTCGTCATATGTAAGAGTTTATCTATTATGATAGAAATTGTTTCTACAAATATTCTAAGTGCAATGTAGAAATATTTTTACATAAGTTTATAGCACAATATTTATGCAAATGAACATGTTCGAAGTTTAAGTCATGGATTAATGGATGCCAGTGACGAAAATCTCTCTGGTCTGGCTTACCAAAACAAACAAATAGTTATTTATTAATCTCAAATCAACCACAAAATGGCCCAGCCGTCTCAAATTTTCAATGTCTGTAGACTTAATTTTTCTATATACCCACTCTTTCATTAGTCATGTGATTAATTTTGCCATATGATAAACAGAATTTCTATGCTAGAGATTTGCACGCCACCACATTTTTCATTTCATGGTCTCACTACTTAGAAGGAAGCCAAAGTGTTCTTTTGGGTGCTGAACATTTAATAGACTAAATTTAAGTTCGTCGTGCGTGCACGGCGTGAGACAACTAGTATATATATATGATGCACTTGAAGATTCCTAAGACAACTTAGTAATGAACTATATTTTTGTATTTTCCAAAACCAATTAATTTAAACAAGTCATTCCAACTTTCACGTGAGTTTGTATTCATGGAATTCTACTAGTAAATTTGTATTTTAACTTAATTTTCATCAATAACTATGCTATGTATACTTAAAGTTATTCAAAGAATTTGGAACTTTGAGAAGAAGAAGAATATTTGCTAAATGGTAGTAAGATTGCTGAAAAAAAAAATCACATCTTGCGTGTCTAATTTACGTGAAAAAAAGAAGTCGACCAATGCAATACGTATCTATTCGTATCATATGCGAAATATGTTCGCATATCGATACGTACCTATTTGAATAATATGCAAAATATTTTCCGCAGATATGCGATTCGTGATATGAAATGACAAAAAAATGGCAAACAATTCTGAATTATGCGCCTTTCAGTTTGGATATGCGATTCCTGAATATGAGAATATTTTATGCATAATTATTAATTATACGAAGTTATAGATTTGGATATGTGAGTCGTAAGCTATGCAAAAAAATCGCATAATTATAAAACATGCGATGTTCGTTTTGGATATGTGATATCTATATATGCGATACTTTCACGCATGTGTTAAATTATGTGGTGGGTTAATATATGCAATTACAAATTATGCGAAAATAATTCGCATTTTTATTAACTATGCATCTGATTTGGACATGCGAGTCGTAAACTATGCTAACACATTTCACATAATTATAAACATGCGGCGATCAATTTGGATAGGTGGTAACTATATATGCGAAATCATTTTTGCATAATTTTGATTTGGATAATCATAAATTCTGCGATTCATGAATAAGTGAAAGGGTTACGCATAATCGTTAATTATATGAAATTATATATTTGGATATGCGAGTTGAAAATAATGCAAAAAAAATTCATACAATCCTAAAATATGCGCCGATCAATTTGGATATACGGTAACTATATATGAAAAATAATTTTTTCACAATTTTGATTTGGATAATCATAAATTATGAGATTCGTAAATATACGAACATGTTACGCATAATCGTTAACTATACAGGTTCCCCCCAGAAAGAAAGCAAAGAAGAAAGCTCCAGACTATTCAAGTTTCTTGGATAAGAATTTGGATATGCGAGTTGAAAACTATGCGAAAACATTTTGCATAATTCTAAAATATACGACGATCAATTTGGATATGGGGTAACTATATATGCGAAATAATTTTCTCATAATTTTGATTTGGATAATCATAAATTATGCGATTCTTCAATACGCAAATATGTTACTAATAATCGTTAATTATACGGCATCATAAATTTGGATATGCGAATTGAAAATTATGCGAAAACATTTCGCATTATCCTAAAATCTGCGATCTTCGATTTAGATATGCGATAAATTAATATGCTGACCTTTCTCTCATATGATAAATTATGCGGTGTATTTGAATATGCGATTGAGTAATATGCGTAATCTTTTCACATACTTGATAACTATGCATCCGATTTGGATATGCGAGTCAAAAAATATGCGAAAAAATGTCATATAAATATAAATATGCGATTGCTATATATGCGAAATAATTTTGCATATCAAGAATTATATGGTGGATTTGGGTACACTTTGAACAAATATGCGAATGTGATTAGCAAAATTACTAACTATACATCATATTTGGATATGCGTTGGTATATATATCACAAAATCTCGTATAATTGTTAATTATGCAGTTCATTTGGATATGAAATTTTTATATCGCATATAATTTCGTGAGTTATGAGATGATTTTTTTTTTTCTTATAAGACAGTGTTTTAAAACAAAATGCATGTATATATTGTGGTGTAAAAGATGCTTATCCTTTTTTCTTTTTACTTGAAAGAAGAGATTTTATGCTGCACGTATGGGATACATATATAGGATAGTAAATCAAAAGATATAAAATTATCTTTATACATTGTATTAGTGAAGTATAATTTTATATGTGATTTGTAGAGAAAATGAACTCAGTAATTTGATTTGCGGATTATTAATTTCGGTTTGATCATACATATTTGAAAATTGGAAACTTTATATTTTTGATAGAATGCTTGGTGGGAGCACATTTGGTTTGATATGTCACGAGATGTTTTGGTGAAGTGCTTAAGTAAAATTTGGCACGATGGATTACCACATACTTTTGGGAATCTCAACGCACTTATGTGGTGATTAATCTTGGCCAATTAACATTAAACCAATATATATATATATAAGAAAAATATTCTTCATTTCTTGACTTGTCACTTGTCAGCATCTCACAAGTTATAGTCAACGTACAATTTTGGTAAAACAAAATATCAAATTTTTTTAAAACCAATCTATAGAACAAAAATCTTAAATGACTTTACATGAATATATATTGAAGCCACATAATATCATATTAACAAGAAAAATATTTTTCCCGTGATTGGTGTGTAGAGATGAATATAATATATAGTTCCAATGGGATCACCGGCTATTATATTGTATAATAGAATTGGCCATGAAGCTCTCTGTCTCTCTCTACTTTTGGTCTGACCAAAAATTTGGCAATAAATTGTGCAAATGCGTACGTACCCCAACACATATATATATCTATATATATATATATATATATATATATATAAATAAACAAATCAAAATACGTACCCTACTTTTCTTTGTCACACTCCATAAATAAACAGCATCATCCTTACCCTAACCCTTCTCTGTAGCTAGCTGCACTAAGAACTAATACATTCCTACCTTTGTCTGAAAATAATTTTCAGAAATTAATTAGTTAACTGTTCCAGTTTATTAGCTAATTAATTAACTTATTATACTACCATGGTGCGTATATTGTCTATCTATCCATCTTAATTATTTTCTTCTTTTTCATGATTATCTGAATTCCGCGTAATAATTGAACTGAATTTGTTTATCAATCGAGTTCAGATCAAGCCCAGGTGGTTGGAAGCTCTTTACGTGCAGAAATTCTTTTCGCCTTGCTCAATTCACGACGCGGCCAAGAAAAACGAGAAGAATATTTGTTGTTTGGATTGTTGCACGAGCATTTGTCCTCATTGTGTGATTTCCCATAGAGCCCATCGGCTACTTCAAATACGCCGTTATGTGTATCATGAAGTTGTTCGGTTAGAGGACCTTGAGAAGCTCATGGATTGTTCAAACATACAGGTTATTATTATTATTTACTTAATTAATTTTCATCATCATATATATTTATTCAATTTTATATATTTGTATTATTAAGGTAAAATTGTAATTTTAGTCTTGTGGGTTTGATCCAGTGGCGTTTTTAGTCTTAAGAATTGAACATTTTTGCTATTTGGTCCTATGATTTTAAAATTCAGTATAATTTCAGTCATTTGGAACTGAAAATGCAATAAAATTTAATATTACAGGACTTTGGGACTGCAATTTAAGTCCTGTAATTTTAAATTTTGTTGCAATTTAAGTCTCAAATGATTGAAATTGCAGCAAAATACTAAATTACAGAATCAAAAGATAAAAAGTTAAAATTTTGGGACTAAAAATGCAATTGTGACTATTATTAATTTGTTACACTTCAATTTTGGATTGATTTTGAAACTATGCATATATATTTATGTGTAGGCTTATACGATTAACGCTGCAAAAGTGGTGTTCATCAAGAAGAGACCTCAAAACAGGCAATTCAAAGGGTCTGGAAACTATTGCACGTCTTGTGATAGGTCTTTACAAGACCCATTTATCCATTGCTCTCTAGGCTGCAAGGTACGCCTGCCTTTATTATTAACTTCAATTCTAATTTTACTCATTTTTTTATATGCAATATCAGTCTCGATTACAAAATTTTACTCATCTAAGGTAAAGTTCACTTTGGTTATTGCATAATTGGAAATTGAATTGTACCATAAGCATTTTTATAAATTCAAAACGGTAACGCATATGAGCTGATTAATTAAGTGCGGACACTGTCCCATTAATTTTTAATCTTTTTAAAACAAAGGGCAACTATTGTTAATGAACTTGAGATGTGTGTAGT